TTCTCTGTCACTTGTCAATTTTTATAATCTATTTTGATCTTAACATATTTGGATATATTAACCAACTTGTTGATCACAGTAAGCGGTGTATTTTCCATGTTTTTGCATTTTTCGAGAGACTTTAGAAAATTGTTAGCTATTTCCAAATCCTAACATTAACTGCAGTCACATTAAGTGGCATCTAGTGTTTTAACACAGAGAATAAAATATGCTGCCAGCATCTGTGCAATTTGGGAACGTGAAAACAACCTTTTTTTACAACAAAAGGAATTCCAATCTTCTATTTTCAAAAATAAAATAAAAAGGTAAAGTGACATTGCCACTCATTAAAAAAATTGCTAGGAAAAGAAATTTAGATGTGACATAGCATATCATTTGTACAGCTATGGAGCTTTGAACAAATACAGGAAGGATTAAGATGAGAAGTTTGTTCATTAGGAATTATGGATTCTGCTGGCCATTGCACTCTTGTTCTGGGCACCATTCACAGGGTTGCCACGCTACCTGGAAAACCGGAAAAAGTCAGGAAATTCTAAAATTGACCAAAAAATTCTGGGAAAAGTCAGGGAATTTAAGTATTTTAGTCAAAATCTGGAAAAGTCAGGGAATTTCATACAGCAATCCATACAATTTCATACAAAAAAAGCGAGTTTTGCGCTGACGTTGGAAGAGATAACTTTTTTGGCGAATTGCGTATAATGTGTGTGTCATTCGGGCAGCTGGCATAGAGCCAATTTTCGCAGCTCCTATTTGATTGTCTTTTAGAAAGACAAAGCAAGTTTCCCGCAACTTTTGATTTCCAGTAACCTCGAGAATCAAGAGAATTGCGTGTGCAGTGCACGAACTAAAGAAAGTACCTGTTCTCGTATAAAACAAAATGGGCTTAATCCTAGTATACGGTACCATGAAGGTTAAAATTAAAAAAATATGTATATTAAAGAAGGAAAACCTCTCTGCAACAGACGTGGCTTCGTTCCATCATAAAGGGAAACAGCTGTGGTGCATGTGCGATATATCTGTCGCCAAAGCTTGAAACCGGTGTCGAAGTTCAAAGGTCACATTATCAAGAGTTCATAAAATGAATATCGTTTAAAATTTCTTTAAACTCTAAAGGAAAAGAAAATATTTTTTGGCGCAAGTAAATTAATTCATGGATTAGTTATTTTGAGGGGGGGAAAAGTTTTTAAAATTATTGCGAAAAATCAAAGAAGAAACGTTTTTTCATAAAACGTTTCTTCTTTGATTTTTTGCAATAAATTAAAAACGGATTTTCATAGTTTTTTTTTTTTTTTTTTCTGTCAAAGAACGTTTCTTCTTAACATGTGTTTCTTAATTTCCTGTACACATCGTGGAGAGGGAAATTCTGGCCTCCAGGTTCCGTCGCCAAATCCCTTGGCAAATTTTCCCTCCGCATTCTAGCAGCTTCTTTGGTTAGAATAATCTCCATATATGGTACAACGGGATTTGGCGACATGATGATGAGCAGTAAATGTTTCATTTTGGTCTTGGCGACAATTTTCAAAATCATGCCAAGGCCTTACCGTATACTAGAATTTTACCGCAAAATCTTTTTAAACCTGTTTTTTTTCTTTTTAATAAATATCTTGTCATTTTGCAGTAAAATTAAAAAATAGTAATGAGTCTAATCATGTAATATAACTATATTCGCTAAAATATTATTGATTATTCTCATTCAATTTTTAAGTAATTATCTTTATTTTTATGTTATTTGTATCATTTAATGTTGCTACTTCCCTCTAAATTTATTTATTATTAGTAAATAATATTTCGAAATTTCGGGAAATTTTCTCTGGCATAATCCTGAAATTAATTCTAGCAGTATGATGACATAAAATCACGAAATTTAATATCACATATTTTTTCCTTATGTATGCTGCGAAATAAATATAAAAATACCTCAATTTATTAAAAAAAATATCATTAAATAGATTTCTTTCTTTCGTTTAGCTACAGAATGTCTGCAAAAAAAGCCTTATTTTATTTCAGATTGGGCAGATTCTAATCTCAATAGTGGAGAAAACAACTCCTATTATAATTATATTTGTATTTTTAAGTGTCAAGGTGCCTTTTAAGAAGATACCTCACACAAATTAAATTTACCTAAAATCTAACCTAACTATTTAGCAGTGCATTGTCATTTATCAGGACCGGATTAGCCTCGTGTTGAACTGGTGATGATCATGAGTAATAATTAAATAAAACATACAATTTTTATCCAATGTATATATCTTAAATTTTAATTAGTTTCTTAAGTGGAAAAATAAACAAAACTATCAAACAAAGTATGCCAAGAATAATTAAGAAAAAATGTCCTCTGGGATTTACTGAATAATTAAGTGAATTTGCTACAAGTAATACCATAATTAATTTACCTCTTAGCACAGCCAAAGTACATTATGCGTATAGACTGGAATTTTCTTGAAATATACCTGGAAAAGTCAGGGAATTTCATTTTCCTGTTTGAGTGGCAACCCTGCATTCACATGGCAGTGACTGCACTTCATCATGTTTTTAAGTTGGGAGAAGCCACTTTTGTTGTTGTTCTGTTGAAAAAAATCAGTTGTTCAAGTGAATATTTTTAGTATTTTTCAAATTTAATGTGTATATTTAAAGTGTTGTAAAAGAGGAGGGCTGGATAGATGCTTTAAAACTAGCTAGGTTGCTGACATATAAATTTAGCTTTTTTTCCTTCCAAAATTCCATCAAAGTGGTTGCGTTAATACATAAGTACCATTTTTTTCTTCTCTTTACTTCTAGGCATCATAATTTTAATGCTGTTGTTTATATACACTGGTGTGCAAAAATTAAGGAGCAGATGGTTTTTTCAATATAACTTTGTACAAAAGCTTTCCAAATCAACACATTTAATACCGTAAGATCCCCAATACGTAAGGACATGAGTAATGTAAGCAACACTTACTAAAAGAGAAATCAGAGGGATAAAAAGAAGCTTTATTGAAAAAGTAGCATGGAGCACAATGCAACTGAAGGCCGAAACATCCCTGTGATGGGTGTCCAGCAAGAAACATCCGGTCTTTAATAGGGGATATGATCTCCCCTGACTGCTAGGCAGGTTTCACAGCGTCTGCCCATGCTGAGAATGAGGGTGTCAATGAGTTGTTGAGGCATTGCTGCCCATTCGTCTTGCAGCGCCAATCGAAGCTCCGGAATCGTTACTGGTGGTAAGGTACGAGCTGCCAAGCATCTGCCTAGAAAATCCCATACATGCTCGATGGGATTGAGATCCGGAGATCGTGCCGGCCAATTCATACGTTCAATATCCTCACTCTCTAAGAGCTGTTCGGCAGCTACTGTGCGATGACATGGTGCATTGTTGTCCATGAAAAGGAACTGCGGACCCATAGCGCCTCTAAAAAGACGCACATATGGAAGAAGAATCTCGTTACAATAACGGGTCCCGTTGACTGAACCTGCGTCGAAGATGTGAAGGTCTGTACGACTACCAAGCATGATGCCTCCCCAAACGAGAACACGCCACCTTCATACCTGTCCCTTTCAATGATGTTCGAGGGATGATTGCGGCTTCCCCGCTTTCTCCAGATGAGTATGCAATAAGAATCGCTACTCAGACTGAATCTGCTCTCATCTGTAAAGAGTATTCGTCCCCATTCATTGTTCTCCAATTCCGGTGTTCCCGGCACCACAGAGAACGCCTTCTCCGATGGGCAGGCGTTAGAGGTACACATCGTGCAAACAGACCACCACCGTGCAGTCTTCAGGCCATGGTAAAATGCGATATCGGTCGTCCAGTCGCCTGTGTCGTGTGTCTAGCGATTTCTCCCGCTGTCTGCCGCCTGTTTCTTCTGGCCTGTAAGGCAATATACCGGTCATCAGCGGGTGTGGTTCCTCGTGGACGACCACTACTAAACCCCCGGATAGCTGTTCCTGTAGTTTGAAATTGTCTCCAAAGTCGTGAAACGATGCTGTGAGCAATTCCAAACTCTGCAGCCACACTTGTCACACTGGGGCCTTCTTCCAACTTCCCAATGATTCGACCTCAGGTAAAAGCATCCAGATGTTGTCTAACAGATTGATTATTCGCCATTTCTCGCTGAGGCAGCAACTCGGTGTGATTTTAACTGCTATACAGCGTGCAATCTGTTTGTCAGAAATACTGATCTTACACCGACAACATGCTTTATAGTACTCAGACACTCCCCCATTACGTCTACCTGCATATCTGTGCATGTGCTACCATACATCGCCTTACTTAATCTCCTGATTGGTCTTTCTGTCCGCTCTGCCTCTTCGTTCAGCTGATATGCTAATTTTTCGACTTCGTCCTTAATTTTTGCACACCAGTGTATATTTCTAGCTTTATTGCTTTTGATCATTATGTGCTCCTACAGAAGCACACACACTAACTTGGAACAGCTGCCACATTGTGATATTCATGTCATGCCATTTTGATTTTGAATGGATAGGCCTTCTGATTGCTAGTAGTTTGATCCTGACAAAAGATCTGGTGGCATAGTTTTATCTACATGTTGGGCCAGTTTCATTTAAGATCTCTTTTTTTTTTTCAAAAAACACTCATTTAGGAGATAGGCTTAATCAATTAATTGCCCAGATTTCACTGGGCTGAAGCACATTTTTTTTAAATGGTTTTAACCTTGAATGGAGAAAAATTTTACCCTTCTGCACATTAATTTTTTTAATGTGATATACTAAAAATATTTAAGCGTTTGATTGTTATACGGAATATAAGTGTTGATTAAATTAAATTTGGAAATGCTCTCCTTTGATTTTAGTTTCATGATACAGAAGTATACTATTGTATTTTGAGTTGGCAAACATATACTGTTTGATCAAAAAATTAATTTTTTAAATGGGATAGGAATTTAAGTGTTTTTATGGTTACTATTATTTTTACATTAATATATGCATGTGCAATAAACTGTGTAGAATTACTTGTCAGTGTTTTCATTAATAATGAGTATCTTTTCTTTCTTTCCTAGTTGTTACACTGCTCAAAGAATGGGTGGCAGTTCATTTGCGGAATTATTTTCATTGTCCACTGAGGAGTCTAAGCAGATTATAAAGATCATAGTTGTTGAATCCGAACAAATCAAGTTGATGAATTTATTAGCTGAAGTGAAAATTTTTAAGTAAGTCTTGTTTTTAGTTTAATTATTGTCTGTGTATTGATGTTTGTAATCATTATTAATTTTTTTCTTGTTTAATTTTGCATTATTTGAGTTTGCTGTTGTTGAAATTAAAATTAACATTTTTTGTTGTTGTTGAATGTAAAGTGTATTGTGTTTTCTTTCAGATTTCTGCTTTTTATGAAGTTTTAATTGTTCGCAATAATTTGTTTGAGAATCTGAATTCTTAATTTAAGCACACTGTACTATATAATGTGCTTTTAGCATCTCATGTTTTTCATCCAAAATCCTTTCTTTTGGTTTTAGGTGTTTAAATATGCTTAGAAATGAAGGCCCAAACCACTGCATGAATTTTTGTGAACTTAAAAGGTACTTAACTGGTTTTTATTTCCTTTTAATGAGTGTTATGTACAATAAAAATACATACATGACTGTCAGTCTATTGAATTTTGTTAATATTTTACATTTTCTTTGCTAGTAAATATAAAAAATGTCACTGATACAAGGTGGGGATATTTCATGCAACTTTTGGTGGTATGAGAGCCTATCTGCATATTCAGCTTACACTTTAACATGCATTACAGTCTCATAAATATTAAAATGTCATTACATAATCATTTTGAATTAATTGTAATTTCTGAATATACTATATATATGTGTGTGTGTGTGTGTGTGTGTGTGTAATGAGAAATTAAAATTTTATATATAGTGAGAGCTATATATATAACAAATTATAAAAGTAATAAAAATTAGGACTTAAAATAGTAAAATCAAGTAACTTAAACAGCTTAAATTGAAAATTTAACGAAATAAAAAAAAATTATACATAAAAGATTATACTATCCTGGAAAGTTAAAAAAAAAAAAAAAAAAAAAAAACCCTATTGTAATGGAAAATATTGATTAAGAAAACAATTAGCAATAATATTAATTAAAACAAGGTATTATTGGAATATTTCTTTAAAATAAGGAATAAAAGTAAAAAAAAAAACTTTTAATGACGATCTGGCAGATTCTTTGAGTTGGATGGATTGGATTATTCAATTATGGCAATGCACATGAGGGCTATCTGCGGACTTTCTAAGGGAAACTGGCTCGTATACACATTACACATGGGGAAAGCCACGAAAACGCCCATGCAGCCAGCCCCTTTCGCTGGATTCGAGCCTCTATTCTTTTGAGTTGATTCTAGCAGTTTGTGATTCAGTGCTGTTGCGCACTATCTAGAAAGGTGAGAGTAGCTGTGATTTCTTCAAGATTAATAAATAGTGTAAGATATTTGGTTCAGTATTTAATTTTAATGTGTAAAAGATCTTTTAGATTCACAACTGATCCTTGGGAACCAGGTTTATGAAATTTTTTTTTAATCTTTTCAATGACACCAAGCTTCTCTGAAGAATGTGTTGTCTTAACTAATAGTCAGTTTTTGAATTTTTTATTTGCACAAAATTTCAAATTTATTAAAGTCCGAAAGTCATTCCTGAAATCTTTATGTACAGAAAGGTTAGTTCCCCAATGTGTTATATTTGCTTTCTGTGAAAGAGCTGTATTTAAATAGCATATATTTTCTAAATTTTTACGGTTACGTATTAGATTATGTGTTTTCGGACTCTCCCTGTACTGATATAGTAATTAGACCAGGGATTCCCAACGTTTTTCTTGCATCTAAAAAAATAGTTTTCTTCATCGACCTCTAAATATTTTGCTCTGTAATACATAATCATTCTACAAATAACTGTGCGTGCAAATAATTGTGCTTTAAGGTAACAGACTAAACATATGAACTACAGTTATGAAAAAATGGTTTATTACATTGATGTTTTATTATCTTTTATATTCTTATTATATTTAATAAAACAAGATTTCGGACTCAAAATCACTGATTCTAATTGCTGAAAACTTCAATTTAATTAATATGATGGCTGCATTTAATGTATTTATTCAGTTTTTTAAATATTTGGCATAACATTCTTTAACTCAATTCAATTCTTAAATCACCTCACTCAGAAATATTCGACCTGTTTATCGTTTTTCATAGTAAGTCATTTAATTGAATAAGCAGGATTTGTACGGTCCTTAAAAGTACATAAAAATTCCTGGGTTTTTTTTTTTTTTTTTTTTTTGAAGAAATAATTTTTGATCTATAAAAGGGCAAAACGTCTTTCATTTCACTCATCTCACATTTCTGTTTGTTTTTTATGATTGTCATTGAGTGTGCATTAATATTTTGGAGGACTATTTCTTGATTAATTAATAAATACATATTTAATTGGGTAATTGTTTGAATTATTTTCTGCTTCTTAATAGAACATGGGGCTCTATGTCGAGTGAAACATTAATGTTTCGAAATTATTTTTTTTGAGAATGTTCATAAAATATTACATCAAAAATGTAATTTCCAATTTTGAAATATGATTTCTTTTATTATGCAGTTTTAAATTTGTCAATTTATCAGTATTTTGGCGATTTCAAGATCAAATTTGTATACAGAATTTTCGGATCTGGATATTTGTGAATTTTTACACGATTTTTTTACAAGCATAATTCTTTTAGATGCAAGAAAAACATTTTTACAAGCATAATAAGTGGGAAAATACTGTTAAAATAAGGATAATGTACTAAAATTGTAATTAAGAAATAGCAATAAAATAAAACACTTTCATTTTCCCATGTCATATCTTAAAATGAGATTATGTTACATTTTGATGACATCTGAAATGTAAATATCGTAATAAATGCCATGAAACACAGTTTCTGGTGCACTTCTTAGCAAAAGCCAAAAAGTTACTTTTAAATTAATTTCATTTCTCTCCTTTTATATTTTTTATTAGAGTTTTTTCCTATGTTAATTGTTTCAGAATCTTTAATCATTTTACACTTTTCTTTTCTCAGTTGTTTTTCAAAAATCTTCTGGTTTTTTTTTTTTTTTTTTTTTTTGTGTTACATTGTTAGCAATAATTTTTTGGGCTTTACACCATTAGCAATGATTTTTTTGGGCTTGCTCTTGGGAAGGCTTGCAAGGATTTGAAAGCAAGATTTATAGACCTAAGATCTAGAAAAATGTGACTAAATAAAAGATGTTTTCATGGTTAACGTGTAATGAATGTTTGTTACAATAAATTTGTGACAAGTTTCTTATTTTATAGAAAAGTTTTGGAAGAACAGTGAAAACAAAGTTATTTGAATTTTCTGCTTTTGTTTTTAGAAGTCTTTATCTTAAGATGTTCACCTCTTTATTTTCTAATCTTTTTACTAGATGTAAGCATGAAAAATTGCAAAAGTAGTTCTACTCTTTTCACATGGAAAGGCATCTGTAAAAAGGAATTTTTCTGTTAAATGAAATTGAAAATTCAGGATTTTAAAGATTCATCTTATATAGGGATTGGACTAATATGCCCAAATATGGAAACTCAGAAATAAAAACATATTGCTATGACTAATACAGTGTAGGAAAACTGTTGGCATTCGAAACAGCTTGCAGTCTTCTCGGAATGAATAAATAGAGATCTTGTATGCTTTGCAAGGGAATCTTTTACCATTCTTCTTCCTGTTAAACATTGCAAGTTCAGTTAATGATGGTGGTAGTGGATAGCGCTTATGCAGATTTCTCTCCTAAGTAACATGCAAAGGCTCAATAATATTGACAGGGTTGCCACACTACCTGGAAAAAGTCTGGAAATTCGAAAATTGACCAAAAATTTCAGGGAATTTCATAGGGTTATCCCCCCCAAAGAAAGCGAGTTTTGCGCAATGTTGGAAGCGGTCATTTTCTTGGCAAATTTTGTATCGCGTGAGCATCATTCGGGCCAGCTGGCATAGAGCCAATTTTCGCTACTCTGAATAGATTGTCTTTAAAAAGACAATCTATTTGGAGCTGAGTAAGTTTCCAGCATCTTTGCTTTCCAGTAACCTCAAGAATCAAGAGATTTCATTTAACTTCAGCATGATGCACTCACAACTGCACAGAATACTGTCTCAATAACGAATGACATTTGCAAGTATTGAAGATGTTCTACAGTACGGCAAACAGCTTTTGTGGAAAGAAACATTTCAGTTGAAACATGCATTTTACAAGGTGTTTCCATACTTTGGCCTCATTGCATGGTATACAGGGTATTTTGCCACTCTATGAATCCCAAATCTTGCTGCTCAATATCTACCATAAATTCTAAACATTTCGCCAGCTTGAAGTTTTGTTGTCCATTGCTTCACAAAGATCTAAAATTCTGCTGCATTGACTCTTGGCACGGGCCCTGACCTTGTATCATTTCATATTTATTGTCAGTGCTCATAGTACTAGAGAATTTAGCATCTTTTGTCATTCTAAATACATGCTTAGATTCTTCAATTAAGTTTGAAATTCTAAAATCTAGGGAAAATTTAGAGTGAAAGATAAAGAACATTATTCTTCAAATGAAAGCATTGTTTTATTTAGTGAAACCAAAAAAATTGTTAATGAGAAGAAAACTGATGCAAATTAACTAACATCATGAAAATTTTCAAGCATAAATATGTTGTTGTGTGCTGTTGCTATGAAACATGCATGTTTGGTAGGTTTTTTTCATATAACTTTTTCCTAATATTATTTCAAAACCATAATTTGCATGCATAATTTATCTGTATTTTAAACTGTTAAATGTTCTCAGATTATGGTTTGAATAGTGCTTTTTAACATATTTTTTAGACATAAAAAATAATAGTAACTATGTATATGTATAATGGTTCAGGGTATTCAACTACGTATATAAGTATTTGTAACTAATTGCTTACCCATAGAATTTATCTATATGTGTTTGGTGAGTTATTGTCTTTCCTTAATCCTTATCGTGATCGTAACATGCATGACAAAAATGTAAAAATTAGATATTACTTTATTCCGTACAGCTAATGTTACATAAAAACAATATAACACAACTTACTAGCACCTCTGGTGCTTCAGTGGCTTATTGGAACTTTATATTAAATATTGTATATTAACTGGATTATAAATCTACACAAAGCTATGATGGTAATTGAGTCAGACATACAAAGCACATTTACAGTTTGCCAATGTCAGGCATTCATGTCTGTTCTGATCAGCATCTCTTGCTCGCTCTCTTAGCAAACAACAGCAATGGCACAGAGCCATGGTTCTGTTACAAATCATGCTAGATATGCTTTGACTTCTCATTTGTAATCTGTGCCACTTCACGTAAAATTTCCGTAAATAACACATCGTTCAATAAGTCCCAAAACTAACTAAGAAAACAACATCCATTTCACAAAATTCATGTTTATTCATCAACATAATCACCATCAAGAGCTATGCAATCATTCCAACGCTTTTCTAATTTTTCTATACTGTGCTTGTGAAACGATTTGTTCTTGTCTGCAAAATAAGCTTCAGTGGCAGTGATGACTACCTCATTCAAGCCAAATCTTTTTCCCTGAAGCATCTTTTTCAGATCAGCAAACAGCCAGTAGTCTCTATGGGTCTGGGAAGAATGGTAGATGGGGAAACAGAGTGAAGCCCAACTTGTTCAATGTAACCAGTGTTTGCATTGACTTATGGATTGTCTTATGGGTCTTGATGGAAGATGATTTTTCTTCTTCATGTGCGGTCGTTTTTTTGCGATTTCGATCTTCAGGTGCACCAGTAACTCACTGTAATAGGCGTTATTGATAGATTTTTCCTTTTCAAGGTAGTCAATGTAAATTATACCTCACGCATCCCAAAACACTGATGCCATGACTTTGCCAGCTGACTGTTGCATTTTTGGATGCTTCGGACGGCTTTCACCGGCTGAACGCCACTCAGCTGATTGCCGCTTCAACTTTGGAGTGAAATAATGGATCCACATTTCGTCTATTGTCACACACCGATGCAAGAAATCCTGTTTATTTCGAGTAAACAGTGACAAACATCTCTGTGAATCGTCGACTCGTTGTGTTTGTTCCATTGTGAGCACATGTGGCACCCATTTGGAAAACACGTTTTTCATGTAAAAATCGCGCACACACTTCCAGTTGATATGTTTACCATCTCGGCAATCTCACAGACTTTCTTTTTGCAGTCATTCATCACAATTTTCAACACTTGTTTCACATTTTCCAGAGTGACTGCTTCATTTGTCCTACCCGAGTGCGCCACATCATTTGTATCCATGCGACCACGCTTGAAATCAGCATACCAACAACAAATGGTTGTTTTCGATGGAGCACAGTCTGTATAACATTTTTCAAGCCATTGCTGAGCGTGGATGGTATTTTTGCCCATTAAATAGAAATGTTTGATCAACATTCGAAATTTGTTTTTCTCCATTTTGTCCACAAATGCACAAGTAGTGTCATGATGACCACAGTAGCTTTGCTGTTTTCGGTATGAATGCCATGAAAATCAGACACATGTCATTTGAAGGTTAGTTTTTTCGAGCAACGAAGTCAGGTTGATATTACCTATGCCATCTGTCGGTTAGTCCCGGGACTTATTGAATGATGTGTTATATAGGGTGAGCGAGTACGTGATGAAATGAGGCATAAAAAGAGAATCACCGTGAAGCTAATTGTTAATAAAATTGTTCACTAGTCTTCTTTAAAATATATGGGACTATTTTAAGTGTAAAATATACATAATATAAATTTTTGAGGAATTTTGTAATTTAATGCTAATTATCTGGTACATTTTGCAAACTAGATTTTATTCTCGAATTTTTTTATAGTAGTGTTAAGTATTGAATTTCCGTGCTCTTCAAGTTTGCTCCTCCAAACTAGCCCTTGATGAAGAACTAAATTATTTAAAAGCAATAGCTATTGACAGGGGCTTTTCACCCAACATTATTAATCAAGCAATTAAAAAATTCTCATCTCAACACACTAAAAGCCACACTCTTATTTTAGGAGATTATAAAAATTCTGTTGTCATTCCCTTCTTTCCATCAATTAGCTATAAAATTGCACATATTTTGCAGAAATTTAACTTTTGGGTTGTTTATTCTCCCATCAATAAAATTCCAACTTCTATACTCAAGGACCCCATTCCGGATATGAATTCCTGGGGTATTTATAGGATTCCTTGCCAGTGTGGTTTAATTTACATTGGCCAAACTAAGAGAGCCTTAAAATTTCGGGTCAAAGAACATGAGGCATATGTTAGAAAAAAGGAAACACAGAAGTCTTCTGTTGCTCAACATTGTTGGTCCGAAAATCACACTTTCAATTTTTCTGCTGCCAAAATTATTCAAAAAACATCTTCCATTGGAGAACTGGATTTTCTAGAGGCATTTCACATTCATAAAAATCTTTCTGTTCTAGTTAACGATCCTAATTCCAATCCAAATTTGCCTTCGGCTTTTAGAGAAATTATGTTTTAGTTCTGGTTTCGCCAACAGATGGCGCCACTTGCTTATTCTTGTCCAGGCTTTCTTATCTTATCTAATCATTATTTCCTATCTTGTTCATTTGCGGTTTTGCAGCTGAAGATGATGGTTCGGTAAAACCATCGAAACTAGTCCTGTGAAAATTTTGTAGGTATAACGCTGATTTTTGTTGTTTGACTTCTGAATTGGTATTGAATATGGTTAGCAATAATGCATCCTATTTACAGATTTATTTTAGTCTTAGAATGGCATTACAAAGGGAGGTTTGGGTATAGATAGATAATTGCTTTAGTTTATTCGATTGCCTTTGCTGAGGTCCTTAATTTTTTTCATTAATGGACCTTAAAAGTACTTAATTTATTGTGCAAAAATGTGTACAAACCATCATAAAGCTTTCTTCCACGTCGTAAGAAGAGGGAAAAGTCAATAATAGTATTCTAGTAATAACTTTAATTTTGGGATATTTCTGTCAGATGACTTGGATTTCCAAAAGTAGCTGGTTTTGAATAAGACTTGACCTATTTGTATGATAAAGCTTTATATCAATAAATAATTATTAATTATCAATTTTATTAACAATTTTTTTAATCAATAGGATCCTGAATATGAGATCAATTGCCTGTGTATACTCAGCCGTTACCCCCTTTTGATCCTTGATCATCATAGACCCTATTTAAAATTTCATTAACCCTAATTAGTCCATACTGACCCCATTAGGAGCCCCTGCCTTAAACCAGAAATTAATAGAAATAGATAGTAGATAGATAGAAAATAATAAAGCATTTTAAGCAGTTTAATATATGTACCTAGTGTCGACAAATTTCAGACTGGAAGCAGTCAGGAAGTTCTGAGAGTAAAATAACAACTTCAAATTTTATGATGCTTTCTAATTTTTTTCTCCAAACTTCTTTATTACTCTACTGCTCCTCCATAAAAAATATTCAGCAGAGATTTTTAAATACATTATTGAAATGTAAATGTAATAGTAATTCATTTGTCATTTTTTTTTCCTGCAGAATGTAATAGTTATCTATTTCAGAGTTATGATGGTAAGAGGAGAATTTCCATCACTTTTAAAAGAAGCCTGGGTAGATGATACATCAGACTCATATGCATTTGATCCACGTAAGATTGCATTTCTTAATACGGTGTCATTATGTGTATATTTAATTAATAATAATTATAATAATAGTAATGAAGAATCTTAATGATCTTTTGACTGTGCTAAAAATAAATGTGTAATATCTCCATAGTTCAAGAAAGTGTTTTAAAGTTACAGGGCAAGAAATCCTCCTAAGTCAAATTAATGAAAATTTTTCTAAGAGTAAAATTGCATAGCTGTAAAACTTTTGCCTTATTTATAAAGAAAGATTGTTTATAAAAATACCACACAGACTAGAAAAACAAATATCCATAACATGGTAAAAAGGAAATTTTATTCATTGGAGAGTGCATTTCATAATTGCATAGAGTGTGCAAAATATAAAATGCCAGTTTCACCCTTAAAATTTGTTTTCCATACCTCTGGCTACTCTTGTTTGCCAAGCTGTCATAATTCCACATCTGCCAGCACTTTTCGGTTTTTATCACATTTCACAGTAGATCATCAAATCTCCCAGTTTTTAATTTTTAGCCTTTATTAAAGAAAATATTGCTTAGTAATAAGTGAAATTTATTGCATTAATGAAACTTAAATTGTGCAAATTCCATTTTCCTACTCCTATTGGTTTTATCAGTAAATATAAGCACAAAATGAAATTAGCCAAAAAAACTTTAAATTCAGAATAGTTAATTAAATATTTATGTTTTCATTTTAGAATCATATTATAAATAGTTCAATAACCTGAAATATGTATTATAAAGGGAATTCATCAGTTTGAATTTCATTTGAAATGCAATCACCTCACTGCCCCCAAATGGCTTTTCTTATTTGAAAGCCATTCAGTCATAATTATATGACAGGTGATGGATTTTCACCACCGAAAAAATACCTTCTTGTAGATACATTATCTAGTTGAGAAATAATTACTTCAGTGCCTTGTTGATCAGGATCATGTTGACAGGTAAGAGTTAGTCTATGAAGACAGGGTATAAAGATTTCATATACAGAACAAGTTTCAAGAATTCAGTGCTTGGCCTTAATTTCTTGTTTAACCCCTTAACTGCCATGGGCATATATATATATATATCTTGCTCAGCTGATGTATTAACTGCCCCAGCCATATATATACGCCCTTCCAAAATACTATCATTTGCTTTGCACTGCTACCCGTAAAATTATTCGCAAAGCTTTGGAATGCAACACCACAATGACCTTGACAAAGTATGCGAAGGAGGATATTATTTCAGAGAAGTGTGATGAGAAATTGGAGAGAGGGATGTGTCTAAAGCAGTGAAAGTAATAACTACGTGGTATTGGCTGGTGTTGTTTGAGTATAACGTAATTTTTTTATTCTGTGTCCTCCGTTTTCTTTTACTTTTTGTAGTAGGTTCGAGGAATAAAGAAAGATATAACGGATGTTTCAAACCCATTTACGTTTTTTGAATTATTTTTTGATGAACTGCTCGTGCTTCATATTGTTACTGAAACTAGCCGTTTTGTAGATGAGTATATGAACCAACACCTTGCAAACGAAAAGTCAAAAACAAAATCGTGGCATTCAACCAGTTCAGAAGAATATATGTTGTTTTAAGGCATACTGATTTCACAAGGTATAACACTGAAACCTGATACAGTCAAAAGTCGTTAATCCGGACTCGTCGGGACTTCGGCGATTCCGGATTATCGATTTTTCCGGATTATAGATCATCAGTTTAAATATCGTAAGATGGCATGCAGAAATTCTAAAATTAAAAATATGAAACCGTAATTTATGAAATAAAGAACAATTGTGATCTAAAGGGTATCAAAATTTACAAAAAAAAAAAAAAAAAGCTTAATATTTATTTGTTTACTTTATTAAACATTTCTTTTAATGTAAGTTGTTTAAGTTGCTTCGTTTTATGTGATAATACTTTCTCTTTAATTCTATAAACAGACATAATTTCTTGTTCAGTTACAAAGTTTCCCTGTTCAAGTCCCGTTAATTGCTGTGCCGAGAATACCAACTAACTTGTCAATCAAAATTTTTTCGTTTTCACTAACCTCTCTGTCACATTCTTCATGCCTTTATCCATTTTTTGTAGCAATTCCACTTTTTGTTTGTTGGACATCGAACCATACTTTCGTTTTGTAGATCCTTTGGAAGTTCCAGCTCGGAAATTCTATTTGACATAATCGAAAGTTCAAGTTTACTTTTATAAAATTGCTCTTACAGTCTGCAAAAAATAATAAGTGGGATCCAATTCGAAGATTAAGGAACAATGCAATCATTAACATTAACTGAAATAGATAATTAGATAATTTTAGCTTACACTGTCTGTTATACATTAAACGCGCAGGCGAAAACGTATTCTGCACTTGCGCACACGCATATGCGCAGTAGTCAAGGTCTTACGCGCACGCGTAAAACGGCTGTGCGCATGTGCCAACGCGCCGCATGTGCAGAAAGTTTTTAGCTTTGAGGTCCGAATTAACGACTTTTGACTGTATTACACTTATGAAGACAGGGTATAAAGATTTCATATACAGAACAAGTTTCAAGAATTCAGTGCTTGGCCTTAATTTCTTGTTTAACCCCTTAACTGCCGTAGGCGTATATATATATATATATATACACACCTTGCTCAGCTGATTTACTGGTCTAAAAATAAATTGATCGAAACTCCATTTTAGGGATCTTTTTTATTATAAAAACATCATTTTATTGTACTTGCATCTTTTTATTATACTTTTACTCTAAACATTAAATTTTGTGTTTTAATTTTTTTCTTTTATTCTTTATTTTGTTAATGTAAACGGTTTTTAGAAAGTAAAACTTGCACTTATTTTTCCCCTAATACATCGCATAACTACGCGCACCTGTGTGAAAACCGTGTCACTGGGAAATGAATATTTTGTGTTTTTTGTGTCAGTTAAGAGATTAAGAAAATGCAATCTTGATTGGCATAATCCTGACCCATATCGGTGACACTTGAAAATATGAGCTATCCATACAGGGTTCCAAAGTGCCTATTTTAGATTTGTTGAAGACACCTCATTAATCGTAGTTGATGGATATATGTAATGCTATAAATTTTGCATATGTGTAAATAATTTTAGTGAAATTACATATAAATTGTAGTATCCCTTGGATATGTAGTATGAAAAGTGTCAGTATGAAGCATCACTTGAAAATAATGGTACAGTGGTAAGTTCATTTACATTGAGGTTAATGGTTATATCGCTAATTGATTTGGCAAGATAGTGCCAAGCTGGCAATGGGTTTGGTGTCTAATTTTTGTTACCTAGCTTTGCTCACCCTGTCTAATTGTAACTGTATTAAACCCTATGTAACTGTAAATGTGTACACTTTCTAGCAGTTTCGAGAAATTGAATGTGCTGGAAATTTCTCAGCAGTATGGATGAAAACTATGAAACTGCTGCCAAAGAGAACAACGGTTTTTAGTTTTAACTCAGTTTTGAGAGTTAAGCATATTGAGAGATCACGGTACAAACTCTCGCTTTTTGATGCACTGGCTTGTTTTCAGCGTTCTTTAGTAGTTTGAAGTGGTAACTACTGATTCTGCTCTGTCATACTGAGAACAGCTGTATGAATATGTTTATGTGAAAAATTTCAGAACTGGGAAGTGTTTTTGAAAAATAAGTGTCATCAAGTTTTCTTCAGTTTTCGGTGTATTCTATCCATTACAAACCCTTATGCATGTAATAGTATACATATATATGTATTAAAAAAATAGATGCGTTAGAAAAAACTTTTTATATTTGTAATCAGTCTTTAGAGTGTTCTTTTTAATTTGTAGCTATTTCTGCTTTGTGTCCAAAAATAATAAATCTTGATATACTTCATTCACAAATTAACCTCTGTCATGTTATCTTTATGCAGTGCTGTTGATGTATGTACAGTGAATGCCTTGGTTCACAATTTTAATTCATTCCTGAACTCTGTTCATAGACAGGAACTATTTTCCCCATAGGATTAAGCTACTCTGGACTACAAATGATTAAAAATTGATTAATCTGGTCTACAGATATTTAAAATTTACAGTAGTGTATTTACAAATTCAAAGCAGGAAACCAATGGAAATTATTAAATCTTAAGGTTTTAGAACAATAAACACAATATTAGACAAGTAGACAAAATGTAGCTTAATTTTACTGCACTCATTCAAAGAGAGTCAGGAGCATAAGAGTAAGGTGGTGAGAAAGAAAAAAGGAAAAGATGTTAATATTTATATGCAAAGTGTGTTTTGATAAAATTGTCAAATAACTCTCTAATATCTAATCTTTCCTTTGTCTTTTACTACCACTTTACTCAGACTAACTAGGCCTCCATTTCACTCAAAGCTCGTCCATTGTGATTTGTTATCTGTATTTTAAAATGTTTCTAAAGTGAGATATAGTGTTGTCATTGAAAAAGCTCAAAGCTGCCATCAGGGTAACATTACATGAAATTGTGCCTTACCTTGTTACAAATTTTATAGATCAGAGAACTAAGTTCATATTTTCCTTCCTCTTAAGATACTTCATCCACAGTTGCATTCTGTTGCTGTTTCTGAAGTTTTCCAGTTTTTTCTTATTGAGCTCATTTTTATAATAACCCCTACTCATCTTCATTGTTACTATCCAGACCTATGATTTTCCTAAGCGGCATAACAGCATAGATAACAAAAAGGTCCTGTGTCAGTTCTCTTAAAATTGTTTACTTTCATAATTGCTGCTGACCACACTTTTCTCCAGGCCATATTTGTGGACCTGTAAGTCATTTACTGTCAGGCTATATTAATGAAAGTTAACAACAAAAAAAAAATTGAATTATTTCTAGTAGTCCTTGAGTGATAATTTTGTGTCAGGGTTTTTTGCAAAACACCTTAAAAATCATTTGTTGCCAATTTGAATGTGTACATCTTAAGACACTGTCACCTGAGATATTTTTAGCTTGGATTGTTAAGTTTCAAGATGTTTTCATAACTTATTTTATCCATCAGTGATGAAATGCTTAATCAGACTGGAGTCTTTGAAGTAACCTTATTTTTTCCTTGTTTATGGGTGGTGCTGTCCTCAAGCCAGATATTTTTCTGCATATGTATTTCTAATTTTGTTGTGTTTTTGTGGCAACAGATGTAAAACAAGACAAGACAGGAATTCAGTATTAAATGAAAATGTCCACATGTAAAATATTCTGCTAATGCATATAAAAATCTAAATCTTATTTATATTTTGTTCCTTTGTTAAAATCTATAATTGAGTCTATATTCAAGGTAAGCCTTTTAATAATTATTAGTTATCTAACTTGCCTGCAAGCACAGATAATTTTTCTTCATGAGAACCATTCATGATCTGAGGTTCCAGTGTACTTCAATGACAGCAAATTTAAAACACCAGTAAAATAAACTTTATTGTTTCTATACTTGCATCTGTCCACTTAACATATATTCTTCTCTATATCATCTGTATTAATGCAATAAGTGATGAGTGGAATATACTCTTGAAATTATTGAACAAAATGTGCAATATCCTTGTCCCATGTCACTTGCAGTGCTTCTTTTTACTTATTATTCAGCAGCTTTGTCTATTTGTATTACTTCATTAATATTTTAGTACAATACATGGGCTTCCAAAAGTTAAACCTGCAATGCAAATTAACAGTATTCAAAAGCGTAGTTGAATTTGAGTGACTGAAAACTGCTCTGAATGCAGACGGTAGTGTGCAAATATTGTATATTACATCGAATAATAATCCATTGTCCAAATATATGCTAACTAGGCAATCACTGAAGACACTGACAAATCAGAAGACATCCTTGAAGAGTTTGGAGGAGGCTTCTTTAAATGCTGATACAAAGTATTTATAACTTTTGTATGATAATTTTTGATGATACAAAATCCAATATCTGGTATCATTGAGACTTCAGCATTTCTGGATTTCAGAAATTTCCAGTTTTAGATCATCACTTTAAAACTTAGCCAGATGACAACATTGGAATTTGACTTACTGTTTAGATCAGATAGGAAAATGATATCCCTCTCCCCACAAGACTGGAGCAGGTGCAACTGGTACTGCCCAGTTGGGTATCAGAATTTTTAGGAGTGGCAGAAATTTTAGAATGTTAGAGCACTAAGCCAAAAAAAAAAAAAAAAAAAACACACCTTGCATTTAAGGTACACCTGGCCTCCTTTTATAATATTCTCCATTCCTAGAAATTGTAAATAGAATGAATGTTCCTTCTTTTTTTTTTTTTTTTTTTTTTTTTTTTTTTTTTTTGTGGTCTGGATGTTTAAATTTGGATTATTTGTGTTTCTATAACTGAAAGAAGATGGTGAATCCTGGCCTGCTGTCAGACACATTGAAGTGAAATAGTCAAAGATGTGGCTGTTTGCTTTGCCATTGTTCATTCAGCAATTTCTTAAATGTGGAAATAATGACAAACAAGCCAAACAGTTGTCTGTAGACCTATGCCTGGTCGACCAGGGGTTATCATTTCTAAAGATTGGTATATTGCTATAGTAGCCTAAATGAATTCATGAGCGATCTGCAGAGCTATTGCATCCATGTTTACAGTGTCACTTCCTAAGACATCTGCCAGTATTGTACGTTAAGGGTTTCTCATGAAGGGACTGTATGTCCACGTGCTTTTATTTCACTTACTGCCCATTTCAAAGGGGCAAGATTAACTTTTTAACTGTCATGCTCGAAATAATCTCCAGCACAGCACTGGTATTCCAAAATGTCACACCCGAATATTACTCGAGCTAATTTTTTTGAGTGCATCGTATTGTTTGTTATACCCGAATATATATCGTGAGAAGTTTATTTCGGCTTCAGTTCAACAGATTGCAGCATTTTACTGAAGGTTTCAAAGGATAGAGGTTAAAGTTCAAAGTGCAGGGCATTATTTTGATTTTTTGACTGTGAGGCAAACATTTCATTTTTGAAATAAAAAAAAATTGACAATTTGTGCACCCAAATCATCAAAATAACTTGACAGTTAAAAGGTGGTAGCATCCCAATTGGACTGTGTAAGATTGGTGAAATGTCCTGTTCATGGACAGGTACAGATTTGCTGGAAATTAGATAATAAAGTGTATGAAGGTTTGGAGAGAAGAGGCATATGGAATGAGGCCTAGAATATCATGCATTTAGAGGTGACAGCATAATGGTGTGGGTGAGAATTTCACTCGGATATCGCACCCAGCCACATATCTTTAAAAACAATTCTGTGCTGGCTGCACAGTATTGAAATAAAGTCTTACACCCATTGTGAGAATAAACTACAGCAGTTGATCCTGATTTTTTCTTTATGGAATGAAGTAACCATCCCCATCAATATTTTTAACAAGTACATGAAGAGTGAAGGCATTTTTCATATGGAATACCTGCCATATTTCCTGAACCTTAATTCTGTTGAAAATCTTTGGGATGCCCACAAGTGCCCTCTCTCCCTGCATATATCTCTTCTGGCAAATCAGACAAAATTTCCTTTAATGGAGGATTGGCAATTGAGCATCTGCAGTGGTTGATCATGTTATAAGGTATTTCTCCTGCCTTCCTAGCATGCCTTTGTGGTGGTGTGGTTCTGCACGCTGGGCGCGTATTCCAGAGGTCCGTGGTTCAATTCCCGGCAAAGGCGTTGCTCATTTTTCAATCTCTCTTGCTTCCAATGAGCCTAATGTCTCTACAGTGGCGCTCAAACTGAAAGGGTGGTGGATGATGATTCTCTACACCCAGGATTTGACAGTTGGGTCCCCTAAAAACTCCAGTCGCCCTTTAAAAGGGGGAGTATATGAGGTATTTCTCCTGCCTTCGTGGTATAGTGGTCTGCAGGCTGGGCGCAGATTTCAGAGGCCTGTGGTTCGATTCCCTGTGAAGGCGTTGCTAATTTTTCATGTCTCCTGCTTCCAAAAAATACCTAATGTCTCTACAATGTGATGGAGAGCATGGGCAAATATAGTAAATTGTGGGTTAAAGCCGGTTACATATCTTATTAATGTGACTTTCCTGTGTTTGGTTTTAGTTTTAAGCATCACTTGGTTAATGACCCTTGTATGATGTCTTCATCATAATTTATGAAAATTAAATTTTTTTTTTGTCTTAATGGTTGTTTCTGTCAAGCATGAACACATGTGGTACTTTCATGGCTTTACTTTTCAATTTCAACAAAGTTTTAAATTATTGTTGATATTACCATTGCATGCTTTTGCAAGCTAGTATATGTTTAAATTTTAGTACTTATCCTCCTGATGATCTGTTTATATGCTGTTAGTCTTGGGATTGGAATTCTTTTGCTGGATTCAGTAATTGTTTATAAAAACAGCTGATAGGCCTCGTATATTGTATGGATTACAATAGATATAACTCTGACTGAAAATTCATGCAGTAAATTTTTAAGAAACTTTCATTGTTTCGTGCAGTTTCATAATTTCTAAATTCTCTGTAATACAAATTTTTACTGTCTGTTGGATCAACCAGATGTAGTACATTCATGAGGCAGGGTCTCACCTTATTTTATGTTTTGTGGGTGCATTGTCTTAACTTACGGGGTATATTTGCTTTTTTTAAATGACCTATTGTCAATTACATAATCATCATAATGAACTAATTCTAGTTTTCCTATATTGTAACCGTGCATTGTAAATTTAGACTCGGTGAAGTTTTTAAAAAAATTTGCTTCAGCCATTATCACTGCAAAATTGTTTATGACTTTATAGTTTAGATTATTTAGTACCTAGCTTTCTGTGTACAATGACTTGAGAAAGTGTTGACTTTAGATCAACTGTACCTATTATGTTTTATACTCAGCATGAAGCTGTCTGTGTTCAAAAATTGCAAGTTCCTTAAATGTTTTTAAATTCAAACTGAATGGCAGCTATCACTGTAGGTAAATAAAATCCGAGTTGTATAATTTCGTCATTTCTCTTTTTAAAGACAAAATGTCAAAATTAAATCATATGTTTTCCTGCTGTTCATAAATGTATGTATCGTTACATTCCTTACATATAGAAATGTTTTACATTTTTAAGAGATCAGTTATTTATAAAATATACGAACTATTTACATCTAAAAAATTATTATAATTATTTAATGTACATTGTTAAATAATTTATTACTTTTATGCTTTATCTTGTTTTAATTTTGATTTTAAACTGAGGGAGCCTTTTGATTCTTTAACATGCTGTTATTGTAGAAAATCTGATTTATCATTTGGATATGTAGTCTTGTGCAAGTATTTATTGTCCTTAACATTACTGGTCCGTTAATTAGATTTTGTTTTGTTATTATAGCTGTGACATCTGTAATTCCTTTTTTTTTTTTTTTTTTTTTTTTTTTAAATAATGAAATCTACTTTACTTCAGAGCTGACATCAGCAAAAAACATGAATTTGATCGAATGTTTCTAATAGTTTGCTTGTATAGTTAGGATATGATTTTTTCCTCTTCTATTCGAGTTCCTCTTGAACAGTTTTAAAGACTAATATCTTGTAAAATCTGTAATTAAGAATTTTGTATATTTGTAATTGAAAAAATTATTTTTTAGGTCATTATGATGCTACCCAGATGTATCTTATCTTTGAAATGGCCGATGGAGGGACATGTCTGTCACATCATATGGTAATATTTTATTAAACTTTTGTATTATTTAACTGGATATTTGCATGTACTTTTTAATATAATAGCTGTGATATATGTAATATATGCTAAGAATTGTTTGACTATCACATGTTTTATATTTTGCTTCAAACATTTGATGTGAATTTCACATCTCCCTTATTCCAAAAATTGTTATGAAATAGTTTTATACACCTAAGTGTCAAAAAAATGAACAGCAGCTTAATTTCTAAGATGTTAAATATGCGTGAATCTTTGAAATACTCACATTGTTAGTTTTATTTGTAATCAACTCGTGATGTATGTAATTTTCAGTGGGGTTGTACGAGACTGAAATATTTTATATAGCAGTACAAAGCCAGATAATGAAATCATAAGCTTAATGTTTTGAAAAGCAGCTCTTCGTGTTTCGGCAACTTATACATAATTTCATTTGAGAACTTATATCCTCGATTGTTTCAAAAATGTTCCTTTTTATTATAAATATAAGCTTGGATTAAAAAAGGTTATGTTGGTTAGAGTTAGTGAACAATGAAATATCACTGTGGCAAAAGTATTTGGGTCATACAATTTTTTTATGTAAATATAGCAGGCAGCGCTTAATGTTATCATTTGCATATTGTTATTGAATTGCCGAAGTCACACCCATTTATATCCGAAAACATGGAAAATACATCGCTTTTTGTGATCAGCAAGTAATTTAATGTCAAAATATTATGAAATGAAATTTTTAAACTGAAGTGATGTTGCCAGATCAGATTGAAATAGAGTATAGAAATTCCCAAATGACAGAAACATGTCTCTGAGTAAGGGATTAAGTTGCCAAGCATCTTGATTTTGATTTAAGCCAACCACTTACATAGGGACCCCATTTACAAAAGGACTGTCTTAATCACTTTACAAAGCAGAATTCCACATGACTATGTTTTTCTATATCAAAATATCTCCTTGCTTCTCTTGAGTTTCACATTTATATGAATGTTCTGTTTGTTCTAGGAAGTGCTTATTTTATTTTATTCTGTTTAATCATTGTTATCATGGAGTCTAGAAAAAGGCATAATGCTTTGGGTCTAAGGGATGAAGTCGAATTGTTAAATTACTATAACCAAATCCCAAAAATTGAGTCAGTGCGATGTTTTTATGTTTAGTATTTCTCAGCTTCTTTAATGCAAGAGTTTGAAGAATTCTGAAGATATTTGTATATCAAAGCAAAATAAAAAGCACATTGTAGTCAACAGTCCATTGTTGCAACAGAAAAGTGAAAGGCCATAAAACTTTTAATGAAATAAACTTTTAAAAAATGATTTGAGCATTGCAGTCTGTGAAGTTAAATTGATTTATTGCTCACTGTTGTGCAACACTTTCAGTGTTTCAGTGGAGGCATTGCCCATGGCAACATCTGTGGATTAAAATCAGAAGCATGGTGTGAAAGACCTCGATGGTTTTGGGTACAGAATTTGGATCTGTTTTATGCAAGTAGACTTCTCTACTAGTAGTGCAAAAGAGCTGAGCTAGATTCAAGAATTCTCTCTCTCAAATTTGCGAGCTTTGTGTGGCTGCATGAAGGGACCACTTGTTAGCATATTTTGAGCAATTAGGTTGATGTAATTGATTGTTGCATTGGTGGGCTGTTCAGCTCCATTTGTAGGGTGTGGCTAGTTGGGTTCGCTGGACACTTGTGAAGTGAGGCACCATGCGTGGCATGAGTGATGTAGTTTGTCAGTTTTCCCCAGGTGGTCTGGTGGAGGAGGTGCATGTTTCATTCTGTCACATCAAAGGGTCATCATTGTAGCAGTCTGTGGAGCAAAGTTTATGGTTCAGAGTTTGTGCAAAACTTTCTATGTTCTTAGCAGAGGCTTTTCATCATGCTGTATATATGGATCAAAATCAGGAGTGTGGACGAGAGGACTGAGGGGTGTATAGAACTTGGGTCTGTTTCGTGAGAACAAAATTCTCTACCACTAGCACAAATGAGCACTTATGTTCTCGATTCAAGAATTCCGACTTTTCAAATTAGTGAGTTTGTTTAGCTAGTGAAAGAAGAGAGAAAACATTGTTTAAAACAAAATTTCATAGTTAATAAAAGAAGCTGATTTTCTGCTGCAAGAACATTGCATTTATGTTGTAAGGATTGTTAATTTTATTAACAGTTAAATTTAAGTTAAAGTTCCTTTCCTGTCAAATTCTTAACTTCAACTTACTACTTCCGGACAGAACGTAGTTTTGGAATCTTGCTGAATATTTAATGAGGAGGAGTGGTATTTAAAACCACGAAGTTACTTACGGAGTCAGAGAGAATCAGAGTTTCTGATTTACGCGCGTCTGCCTTTTTGGCCACTCTCTCAAAGCTGTTATTACGCTCGGCCGTACTCAGGCCCTTGCTAAGCTTCGTAGTCAAATAAGTTAAGGGGCCAACTCGATTTGAACCTTGATAGCTTCGGCTATACTTTTAGTTAATCGTAGTTTTAGTTTAATTCTTAGTCTTTTAATTGCAAGTCCAAGTGTGGGCTTTGCTTGTACACTCCCAGGCAGAGTTTTGCTAAATCTTATTGGAATAATAAAGGGTTAGTTACCCTTAGTTGTTGTTTCTTGCCACCGAACTCGCTCGATTATTCGCTTATCAGTTCTTAGATTCTTCACTTCCAACATTAACTTAGAATTCCAAAGTGAGGAACTCTACAGTGTAAAACTGGAAGTTCAAAATGATATAAAACATCAAAAGAACATATGATTGTTTTAGTGAAAACCTTTCTGAAATTGATGAATTTCCTTCAAATGCTGAGATAAAGGATGCACTATAGATATTAAGATTAGGGGTATAACTTCGACCTGAAACATAACGAGAAGGAATGGCTCATAAATGGATTTTAGCATAGCAACCACAGACCATCAGCCATGAATGACTTTAGAAATTAAAATGCTATAACAACAAGTTATTCAGTTTATACTGCCAAAATATAGTAATGGACAAACATGGTCACTTTAAGCAGTGCCTATTGTAGTGCAGGTTGCAGTGACATGTTATAGTTCAATTGGTACAAGTTTAATGAGCTGTACTTGGACTAGTGCAAAAGTCTTGTTTTCTAAGACTTAATTATAATTTATTAGTATTGATTCTCTGTTTTTTGTATATCCATTCTTTGTGTTCAGTACACTGGAAACAGCAAGGCATAAGCATGCATTTGTCTTTTACAGTAAAATCCTGCTTACTCAGAGTAGTGATTAAAAATAGCATCAAATTATTGAATTAAAAAAACTGGTTTGTTCCTGCTTTTTTAAATCAAATGTTCTTCATTCTTTATAGGGAAATAGCTTATTTTATAATGAAAGCAAGTGATCTCAGGATAATGTACAATAATATAGTGAACTGAAACAAGTACCTATTCAGGAAACTTAAACAAGTACCTATTCAGAAATACCTTACATCTATAATCATTGATGGCTTATACAGTAGGTGCAGTTAAGTTCAATCACCATGAGAAAACAAATTGTTGAACTTGCATTTTGCAGTATCCACATCAGTATCAGTAAGCTTTCACCACAGGGAAAATTCTGTGCAAATTGCTGTCTGCATCACTAGCTGAAGTGAATCTGATTGGAAACAAGTTGCTGGTCAGTAGCAGGTGAAGCTGCATGTTGAAATAATGTATCTAAACTGCACTGTGTCTCCTGAAACAGTATTTTGCGTGCTTAATTATGTATAGTATGACTTACTTGGTACCATCTTTATATTTTAATAAATTACATTTGTTTCACCCTAATAACTTAAAAATTCCTTTAACAAATTAGGGTAAACTCTTTGCATCTTTTGGTTCAAGTGGTGTTATTGTTGAAAGTAGGAAGATGTACTTCTTGTCTCATATTTTAGAATTAACTAAATGTTCTAGATATTTTTTGGTTTGTTTTATTGTAAATGAACTTTCCATTGTCTTAAGAAAAGCCTAATGACTAAGAGAAGTTTATTTTAACCGCATGCCTGATTATCACGAGTTATCTCGGGTTCGTATATATTGCAATTAATTATTATCCCATGAAAACCCGGGTGAAGCAGAATTTTTTAATACGATTGGTTTTATCATGGTTTTACTCGGCCTGGAGGAAGTGAAAGGAAATATTCAACTTTGATTGGCATTTTGCCAAATTTTTTGGGTTGTGCGGTTCTTTTGGAGGGACTGGTCACGTCCTTCCCTATTGTATAGTATACATCGGCTTGTGGATTAGTAATGTATAAAGAAGGATACATGCATTGAAAAAAATGAAATCGGCGATTATGCAAGATAGCGAAAGCGATAATTTTTCAGATAATGATTATGAAGAGGTGGAAAAAATTTAAAAAAAAATTTTTTTAAATCAAATCCAACGATACAGTGTACTTTGTGCTCCCGTGAAAGAGATTCCAGCGGTAAGCCAGTAAGAAAAGAGACCAGATACCAGTGTAGAATGTCAGGTATCACTTTGTGTTATCCCTTGTTTCAAAAACTATCATACAAAGACTAATAACATAATAACATACATAACTTTTTTCCGTTTGCCCGAGGTAACTCGGGATAGTAAACTAATATTAAAACTAAATGCTTTTACACCTTCAAAAAATTAAAATCTCAACTTAAAACCTACATATTTTGATTCGTTTTGTTGTATTTAATAGTAAAATAAAAAAAAATGTGATTATTTTTTGAAATTTTTTTCAAAAAAAATTTGTAAAGGATGCGGTTAACATCTGATTGCATTAGTTGTGCTCTATTTCTTATAATAAATATTTTTTTTTATTTTCACTAAAGTCTGGCTAGCTGAATTTCTTTGTGCATTGGACAAGCAGTCATATTCAGCATAGTCCTGCAATTTATGAGATCACATCTCGTTGGGTTTTTACTTTTGATTTTTTTTATTCAAAGCAATTTTGTTATAAATCTTGTGGGGTTCCACCCTTTTAGCTCACAGCTAAATGTGGAGGAACCTAGTGAACATCTAGGCAAATAATAGCTTTAGTTCAGGAACAGAGA